CCTCCCGAGTGCTGGGATTAAAGGCATGCGCCACCACCGCCCGGCTTTTTTTTTTTTAAGATTTATTTATTTTACATATATGAGTGCTCTATCTGCATGTTCACCTTTTTTTTTTTTTAATACCAGAAGAGGGCATCAGATCCTGTTATAGATGGTTGTGAGCCACCATGTAGTTGGTGGGAATTGAACTCAGGACCCCTGGAAGAGCAGCCAGTGCTCTTAACGGCTGAGCCATCTCTCCAGCCCCTTGACCACATCAACTCTTACAAAGAAAGCATTTAATTTTGGTGGCTTGCTTACAGTTCAGAGGTTCAGTCCATTATCATCATGGCATGGAGCATGGTGGCTTGTGGGTAGACATGGTGCTGACTACATTTTCATCAGAAGGCAACAGGAAGTGGACTGTGACACTGGGCAGTAGCTTGAGCATATATGCGACCTCAAAGCCTGCACCCACAGTGACACACTTCCTCCAACAAGGCCACACCTACAGCCACAAGTACCCACCTCCTAATAGTGAGATCTTTGTGAGATTATGGGGGCCGATTGCATTCAAACTACTACACATGTTCATGAAAATGGTTCCTGAACATGGTAGATACCATGCATAGGAGGCCCAGGCAGGAGTCTCCAGGCCTGAGTTTCAGGCATTCAGGAAGAACTTATTGCTTTCTGCCCTGGACACTCTTAGAGCAGCAGGCTGGATATACTCCCCACTTTGAATTTAGGGTCCCGGGAGTCATTTTGTGGTTGTTTTCACTCTTTCCATTTCAGCCAACACAAGTAAGAGTCCTATTTTTCTCATCTGTAACGGGGAAATCCTCCTGCCCTCCCCATAGCTGCTTGCGGCAGATGGGTTATGAAGATCCTCACAGGTGCATCTGGCAAGAGGCTGGCAACTGAGGCTTCCCTCCATCATCCAGGTGAAGAGGGAAAGCAGTTCTATCCTGTCTGCCTGAGCAGCCGCTGGCACCCAAAAGGTAAGTCCTCCCTCCAGGATGCCTGCAGCCTGCACTTGGGGGAGAGAAGAGACAGAAATAGACTTTGGCTGACACTAGGACACCCAGTGCCACACTTTGCCAAAAGCTGACCCTAACGCCCTGGGTGAGAAGGAGCCTCCCAACAGTTGTCATGGTGCTCGCTTTCCCTCTGTGATACTGTCTATGCCCGCAGTTATTTCCTCAACTCTGTGTGCAGGTTTCTGTTGTTGGTGGTGTTGCAGTACAGAGGATAGAACTCAGGGTCTTGTGTGTTAGGAAAACATTCTACCACAGAGCTACATCCCCAGCCCCGCCTCTATTCATTATTTTTAATTTTTTAAGAAATATGTGGAACAGAGTCTCATATTCTAACCCAGGCTGGCCTCAAACCCGCAGTTCCCCAGGTGCTGAGATCACAGGCAAATGCTACTACACAGATTTGAGTGTTTCCATTTTAAACTTTTGCCATGAAAAACTTGAAACATTTACAAAAGAAAAAAATAGGGTAGTGTGGCAAGTTCTATGTACCCGTGACCCAGCTTCAACCAACAGCTGGTTCTGTTGTGTCTACCCCTTACACTTCCACCTCTTGCTGTAGAGGTTTCCTATTTTTGCTAATTTAATGTTTTGCTATGTGTAACCTTTATATATAAGGCCTCATAACACATAAGCTTTATGTACATGCCATAAATACATTTGTCTAAACCCTAGAACATATACCACCCAGAGTGTGATAACTGTCAACCATGGACTGGGGTGACAATGAGGTGTCATCACAGCACCATCAGCTGTGGCCAATGTGTCACTCTGACAGTGGACATTGATAGGTGGCACCCTGTGGGCATGGGTCGGGGGCAGGGGGTTGGCGGGAGACATTGGTAAGTCTCTGTACTTTCAATTTTGCCATAACCCTGAAATGACTCTCAAAATTGTCCTTAAGAACCGGAAAGCTCACAATACCATCAGAAAATTTAAAAATGAGCAGCACTTTCATGATATATGATTAGAACGTCTGTCTCCACAAAGCTGGGAGTCTCTCCAAAGCTTCCTGTGCTACTCTTGGCTGTCTCCGGGTACCTAGCAGAGTGGCTGAGAATCACTAAGTCTGCAGTAGTTACAGGCTAGGGAGGTGAATGAGTGAGTGGATGAAGAGCCCACCCTGCTCTCTGTGACAACTGCTGCCCCTGTCAACACTTGGCTCCACCACTGGTCCCAGGTCCCCAGAGCCTCTCATTCTGGAGATGAGCAGGACCCGTCCCCTCCTCTGCCCACCTGCATCTTCTCAAACTCGCAGTGAGTGGCTAATCCTCTCCCATGGCTGCAGCCAGCTCCCCCTGCGAGGCTAATTCCACCTTCCCACTTAATCATCATACTTAGCACTTTCAATGAGAGCTTTTCATCTCCGAGCCCCACGCAGGCATTAGCTGATTACTGTAATCTGTTTGACTCCCAAGGCATCCACCAGGAAGGCGGGAAAGGACCTGGAGCCTCCTTTCCCTTCCAGAAGCTCAGTTTCCTCTCCTGCAAACTTGGGGTTCAAGAGCTAACAGGCATAAGTGCTGGTGGGGTTAAGTCAGATGGAATCTGAGAAGGACCAGGCATGGCCCCCTAGCAACCAATGAGCCCACAGCTGGATTTGAATCTAGCTTCCTCCACTTAATTTTCTGAGCCTCATTTTTAAAAAAAAATATAATGAAGACGATGCCCACCTCTGAGTTTGCTAAAAGGGCTGGGCAACATCATGTGCACATAACATGCCATGCGTGTGTGATGGGCTCACACCACAAAGGGCTCCAGAGAAGCTCGGTGGCCATTCTTAGAAGGAGGTAAATGAAGGCGCAAGAGGCTGAGGTGCTGTTCACCCAGGCACCAGTTCCTTCTTCCCACCTTTGTTCCCTGCAGTTGTCACCCTTGTTGGAAGGTAAGATGCCATTGTGTCCCCATCATAGCCTCAGCAGATAGCCCTTGTCCATCCTGTGCCCAGTGTACCATTAAGGACAGGCATTACACACAAGACAACTCTCAGTCTGGATGGAAGGCTTTGATTTTTGTTGGTTTGTTTTTGAGACAGGATCTCATGTGGCCCAGGCTGCCTTCAAACTCGCTCTGTAGCCGAGGCTGTCCTTGGACTCATGATCCTCCTGCCATCACTCCTCAGGGATTACAGGTGTGTGACAGCATTTCAGGTTTATGTGGTGCTGAGGATGGTGCTAGGCAAGCTGTATGTGCTAGGCAAGTGCTGTGCCAACCGGCTACATCTCCAGCTCAGGACTGTACCACTTATGGAGGACTTTCAGGACCTCTGTCTCACAGCCAGAGAGGGAGGCCAGGAGTTATACCCACATCTTACAAATAAGGATGCTGAGGCTCATGAAGAGAAACACGACATCTATAGAGACCCAAAGCTGGAGCTGCCCCCATGCCCATTTGCATGTGTCTGGGGGTGGAGAGGTAGGCCCCTGCCTCAGTTGACCCCCTAATGCTGCAGGGAGTCTGCAGTTGCTCCTTCCTCTCCTTGGGTCCAGAATGGACTGGATGGAGCTCAGTGAATCTGCTTCTAATTTCCAGAATTTCAATCCGGTGTGGTCACCGCCAGCTGCTGTGGTTGCAGACTGCAAATCTAGGAGATGTGTACTTAGTGTGCCCACAAGGCATCAGTATGAGGTAAGAGGGGACTCTAGGAGGGGAAGGAGGCCTCCCCTAAACACTGGCTGGGCTTCAGGGTAACACTGTCCCACCAGCCAGAGCTCCTGGCTGGTATGGGGTCTACAGCCAGAGTATGAGCTGTAAGAACTGTTGGGAGCATTCTTAATGGAATCCCTGGGAACCAAGCTCTCATTTGATCGATGGGAGAAAGTAAGTAAACAAGTCATCGATCCATTTTCTAGATGTGCAACTGAGGCATGGATGCAGTTTAAAGTCAGACCTGCTAGCCAATGTAACAAGAGGAATAGTCGAAGCCCAGAGAAAGGGATCAACTTGCCCAGAGTCACACAGCTGTCTGGTGGCTGGGCAGAGAGTGAACCTAAGCGTCCAGACAAGTGCCTAAACCTTAGGTGATTCTCACTTTATATTTAGAGACAGGGCTCGAGAC